TGCATCTATCCTTCGTTCATTAAGGGTAGGCTACGCCTCTGTAATTCCTAATGTTTATGGGCAACTGTCGTTTCGCCATTTTAGCAGATTCAGGTAGCCGCTTGCTTGTTCGCCGCCATATTATAAAAAAAAAAAAAACTAGTAACAATAACACATATGTAGAGCACCTAGTATGCTTGTAATAACATACGAAGAAATGAAACATAAATCTTTTCCCCTTTTCATCTTTCTATAACTAGAGACTTATATAAATTATTCTTAACGAGCTGTTGCCCGCGACTTCGTCCGCGTGGTATTAGAAAACATACGAACTATATAAATTACAAAAAGCTACGTATCCCTCGGGAACCGGACATTTTTCTGGGATGAAGCTTATCTCATGTGTACTCCAGACTTTGTTTTATATCTGTGCCAAATTTCAATAAGATATGTTGAACCGATGCAGAATAATCGAGTAAACATTAAAAAAAACTAAATTAATGAATCCCACGGGAACCGTAACTATTCCCGGGATAAAAAGTAGCCTATGTGTTCTTCCACACTATGCTCTAAACCTGTGCCAAATTTCATGGAGATCCGTTCAGCCGTTTCGGCTACAAACGCTAACAAACATCCATCCATCTAAACTTTCGCATTTATAATATTAGTAAGATTAAAGCCTTTTATTCTATTTATGTAGTTTGTCAGTTGCCCAGTAATCCGTAAAGCGTTGGCAAAATTATTAATTCCCACTTTTCTACAGACCATTTCCGTTAATGTTGGTAAAATGTTTATCCTCATATTTATTGCGGTGTTTATCTCTAACGCTCGCTACAGGCTAATGATTGCATATCACTCACAGTCCAACTTCGACCGTTAGATCCTACGAATTAACGATATCCTATCTATCACGCACTACGAGCAGCGTTAAAACTATAGCAGAAACGATCAGTTGATACTTTCTAATCTTATGTGTGATAAACTTGTACCTAAAGTGAATTCACATCATTTGTTACTTTAAAAACTAAAAGAAACACGCAAGTTGATTGAAATCCTCAAAAGATGGCGTTGTTTTACATTACACTAAAGTTCAGATCTATCACCGTTATTTATGTACTGTTAAATTGTAATGCTCTAGTTATATTGAACAATTTGTTTAGAAAAATGTATTTAGTTAACTCCTTTCAAGATTTGTTAAATAAATATTTATTTAGTTATATTTACAGCAGACTTAACTTTTGAATATAGCGCTTTATTTATGAATATAAAAGCCCGTTCATTAAACATGAATAAAAAAGCCATCGTAAAGTACTCAGCACAAGTGCACCAGATGGCGCGCAACGGTATTAAGGTTCCATTAATTAATCAAGAGGCTCTATGTGAGGCTTTTTACTTTTTTCAGCACTGAAAGGGTTTCATTACGAAATGTAATTTGATTAGGACTTAAACTTCTTTGATTTCGTTGAGATTTCGTTTAACAAGTGCTGTTTAAGTTTTCCGTTTTTTATGTTTTATTTTAAGAAAGTAAGTTGGCTGTTTGAAGTGACTATTTATATTTAACCGGTACATAATACTTTTTTTTTATAATATAAGGTGGCACACGAGCAAGCGGCCACCTGAATCCACTGAAATGGAAAGCGACCGCTGCCCATATACATCCGCAATTGCAGATGCGTTGCCTACCCTTATTTGACGGAGGAGACGCACATAAAGAGGACATTTCTCCTTCTTATGCGTCTCCTCCACCGTCAAATCCATTGTTCTTTCCCATCCTTTCCTCTTAAAAAAAGGGTGGAAAGTGAAAGGGACTAAAATTAGGCCTCAGGCACCACACTCATCAGACGAAACGCGGATTGCTTCCATTTCACGCCTGTCTTCTGTGTGGTCATGGTATTACACCGAGGGAGCCGGCCCATTCGTGCGAAGATGTTAAAGTGGGCTCTACCAGTTAAAAATATCAGTTACGATATCAGTTTCTACTAGTTGAAAATAGGTAATAATGTAACATTTAATAGGTACTTAAAGCAGCAGAAATCGAAGATAATAATTAATAACGGAAAACTTTTTAAAATTCCAAAGCGTTGTAGGATTATCGGTGAAAGTTGATAATGACTAGAGCTTTAATTACCGAAGCTTTATAAAAGCTTAACAGCTTAATTAGGCTTAGCGTGATGTAAACAAGCAAGCGTGTCGCGTCATAATGGAAGGCTTTTATGGATTTTAGCATTAATAATAAATAATCTATACAAAGGTATTGAATTCCATTTAGTTGTTTCACTACAATACTTAGTTAAACTAATCAGAATCTAATCTAGACCTTAGACCTATTTGTATTAAAATACTGTTCCCGTGCGGCTTCATCTGCATAAAATTATGAAATTTATTTTGTTGTTTACATGTGTCAAATGATCAATTGCAAATGTCAAAATGACATGACATGATGTCAAACCATGGCAACCTTGATGTTGGCATCAACTTATTGTCTCTTTCCCACATTAGGGTTTTTATCCAACTTATTTACCCCCTAAGTTTAATGGCGTGAAAATATAATATATATCCTAAAGCGTGGCGTAAGTATGGGGCTTTTTATTAAAAAAAGAATTATTCAAAAATATGCTCTAATTGCTGACATCTTAGGCAACAAAGAAGTGTGTGTTTACGCTTTATTATAACAGTATAGATTTAGATTAACTATTCAAAGTGGTTTGAATTTTCTTATTTTAACCAAAATTAGGAAGAAGTATATGTACTACGAGATATTGTTGCGTTTACTATTACATTGCTCTTAGGAATTTTTAAACGCATAGTTCAGGCCTTTTAACAAATTAGAATTTCATTTATTACTTTAATATGTGTAATGTATAAAAATTCAGTAAAAATCCAATTGAATAAAATTATATAGATGCGTTTTAAATTAATATGACACGGCTGGAAATGATAGCAACGTTTTATAAAAGTCCCCACTCAGTGCGTGAATGGAAGACTTAACTAACCTAAAAAAATTGTGAGTAATTTGTCGAGCACGTTTGTACATTATTTATATTACGTCCTCGCTATTCGTAATATCAAAATTGTAGAGAAAAATTTAATACTACTTCAGATAATGCAAATATATTATCTTACACGTATAAATGAGATAGTATAGATGGAATCGGGCTGTTATGCTCCGAGATACAACGCAGAGCCCAAGACAGAGCGAGCTGACGGCGTACTGTGGACCTCTGCCCTACTTTGGGGACATAGGATTAGAAGAGAGAGAGAGAGTATAAATGGGAAAGTTAAGATCGATGGATCTAAGAAGGTATCTCCAGAAAAGCTCCAGACTTAGATGAATAAAGCACAGTTGTAGACATAGTCGGGAAGAACAGATAGGCAACTTACAAGGTTTTTTTTTTAATTCTGCACGATTGGACTCCCGGGCAAAAGCTAGTTATTTCATGTGAATAAATATTCTCTAAATTGTTTGTATAACATATTGTATTTGTTCCATAAAAATTGAGGTTTCCAAACTTTTTATAACATAAACCTGTCTCAAAGGGCTCATCCCTTTTCATGACATACTTAATACGGCAAATTACTTTGAAAGTATATTTCGATATTAGTCTAAGAGCTTTTTGTAACTTATTGAAGTGAAACTTATGAATTAATGATGGGTCGATCAGAAGCTAAATGTTTTCCATTTAACTTACCTCTTATTAATATCACTAGCTGTTCCCGTGCGACTTCATCCGCATAAAATTATGAAATTTTATTTTGTTGTTTACATGTGTCAAATTATCAATTGTAAATGTCAAAATGACATGACATTATGACAAACCATGGCAACCTTACTTCTTTGATGTTGGCAGCAACTTATGGTCTAAGTATAAGTAAAGATATGGATGGATGTTTGTTACTCTTATCGCCAGAACGATTCAAAGGATTGTGATAAAATTTGGCACAAATGTAAAAAACAACAAACATGCTTCAATTATTTTTAATTGCACGCCAGTGTCGTCGGCAAAAACTAGTTATATTAATAAAAGTAAAATGTTTTTACACTTTACTCTCTGTTGCAGACACTGATCACAACATTAACCTAAATGGGTATTTTAAAAGGGATCCTTCATTACGGTTATTGTCAATTTACTTAATGCACCACCTGGCACTTGCACGGTATACCATTTGGTACCTTAAATAAAAACACATAAACTATATAACATTTATTACTCTAGCTTTTGTCCACGACTCCATTAGCTTGAAATAAAAAAAATCAAAAGTAAGTACCCTATGTGCTCTTCCAAACTATCCTCTACATCTCTGCCACATTTCATAGCGATGTTTTCAGCATTATAGGGTATAAATTCTAACATCCGTCCATCTAAACTTTCGCATTTACATTATTAATAAATTAATAAGGTCGAATCACATTTACTACTATGTTACCAGGCATATTAGCGTATAAAATAAACATATTATTTTTTTTATTATCAGAGAATTTAATTTAAGTAACATCAAAAAATACGTACATACACGAGTACATCTCATATATGTACATAATACAACGCAAGAGAAAATATAATACAAACATTATTCTTATTGTGGTGTACGAAATAAAAGACGTGCGTAAGCTCAAGATGTGTAATTCGACTGAATTAAATATACAGTAAACTGCGGTACTTAGAGACTAATAATTTACATGTACCTACTACATTACACTCCTCTGCAATAAATCTACAATAATTCAAAACACCAAATAAATACAATCTCTTAAAAATTAGCCCTAAAATTACATATACAATTTATACAAATCTACTTTGGCCTATTAAGCCTACATTGCCTAATGGGCCGGACCCTGACCGGCGTTACAGGGAAGGATGACTGCTCCCCGCCCGGTGAAGCCGGAGCGGGCTGTAGCTGCGACGCCAGCGGCTCCC